TCACAGACTCTGGAGCACAGGGTCTGAGGCCAGTGGGGAGGAGCAGATACGTTGCCGCTCAAGATACCCAAGGCTGCCACCTTCCAGCAAGTGAGCCCAGAGTAAGCTAGCGGAAGGCCCCTGGGCAGAGAGAGCATACAGACAGGGCGTGTATGCAGGCAGGCCCACCTTCCCAGAACAGCCCACCACTTCCTGTCTTTCCTAACCCTCTCCAGGCTGAGCCCCACCCCAACCCCAACCCCAACCCCTCAACCCTCCACCCCACTCCCCACCACCGCTCCATGGAGTCCCTTTGCTAAGGCTACTCTGAACCTCTTCTCCTGTCTCTCAGAGGCCGGCTCAGATCACGGAGCAAAGCCTTCCCGCAGGGAGGTCCGGACTGAAGATCTCTTCCTCGTCCTCACTGTTTTGTGTCTGCCCGTTCAGCCCATCATGGCTTCTGCTTCTAGCTAACAATTCCCACCAGGCAGCTGAGTTACATTATAAAAAACAAAAACAAAACAAAACTTCAGCACTCGGGAGGCAGAGGCAGGCAGATCTTAGTGAGTTCGTGGCCAGCCTGGTCTACAAAGCTAGTTCCAGGGCAGTCAAGGGCTGTTAACGTAGAGGAACCCTGTCTTGAATAAACAAACAAAACAAAACAAAAACAACAACAACAACAACAAGAAACTTAAGGGGCAGGGCACACGGCTTCGCAGCTGAGTGTACCACTCTCGTGGAGGACCTTAGTTCAGTGCCCAGCACCCGTATTAGGTGGCTGACTACTGTCTGCGGCCACAGCTCCAGGGAAGCTGATGCCCTCTTCTGGCTTCTGTAGGCACTTGCACTCACATGCGCATACCCAGCACACAGACGCGTAATTTAAAATAGGTGTCTGGGTCTGAGAGATGGTTCAGCAGTTAAAAGCACTGGCTGCTCTTACAGATAGATGACCTGGGTGCAATTCCTAGCTCCCTCCAGGAAGCCCACGACTGCCTTTTCTGTAACTCCAGTTCCAGAGGATTTGATGCCCTGTCTCATGCACTTACATACATGCAGGCAAAAACACTTGCATAAAATAAAAATGAATTAAATAAACAGGTAAAACTATATACACAAAAGTAGAGGGGATACTGCCAGGCGGTGGTGGCACGCGCCTTCAATCCCAGCACTCGGGAGGCAGAGGCAGGTGGATCTCTGTGAGTTCGAGACCAGCCTGGTCTACAGAGCGAGTTCCAGGACAGGCTCCAAAGCCATAGATAAACCCTGTCTGGAAAAAAAAAAACATAAAATAAAACAAAACAAACTCCCAGGATCTTTGCCCACTCATGCTTCTTGCTGTCCCTCCACCAGGCCTGGGTGATTCTGAAGTAAATCCAAGACTGACATTTTAGACCCACTTGAGCAAACATAGCCAGCACACCACTTGTCCTGGTTGCTTTCCTGTTGCTTTGATAAAAATATTCTGACAAAACAACTTTTGAGAAAAGGTCTACTTTGGCTCACAATTCCAGAGGGTTACAGTCCACCAAGGTGGAAAGGGCGTGTTGGTGGTGGGAGCATGAGGCCATCCCATCCTATCACATGGGCAGCCCAGAAGCAGAGAGGGGAACAGGATATATATATGTGTGTGTGTGTGTGTGTGTGTGTGTGTGTGTGTGTGTGTGTATGTATGTATATATATACATACATACTCCCCTAGTGCCATACTTTCTCCAGCAAACTTCTACCTCCTAAAGGCTCCATAACCTTCTGAAATAGCACCACTAGCAGGAACTCCAACTATTCAAATTCATAAACCCATAGGGGACACTTCACATTCAAATCACAACACCGCTACAACCTTCTTTTTTTTCCCTGCTCCAAATCTGTATTGGCAGCATTGGGGTTTCTAAGTTCAGTACGGGGAAATCATGGTGTCCTCCTCAGAAGGTTCTCTTATCAGTTAGCTTGCCACAGCTGTGAGGAAATATCTGAAGCAATCTACTTAAAAGAGAGAAGGTTTGCTTTGGCTGCTGGCAGAAATTTCCGTCCATGCTCAGCTGGCCCCATGGCTCTAGGCTGCAATCACTCACCTCATCAGACAGGAAACAAACAAACAAGGAGTAAGAGAATGGGTTCTACAATGCCCTCAGAGGGCACACCCCAACCACTTAAAAACCTCCCCCTAGGCCCCACCTCCCAACAGCCCACATCATCTCTAGTCACAGACCCCCCCCCCTCTCCGATCTCCCATGCCCTGCTCCAGGTACTAAGCCTTTAAGTCCCCAGAGTTCTGTCTAAAGATAGAACTGATTGATTCAATGTCCCTCGAGAGAACCCTGACTAAAAGAAGAAAGTGGATTCATGAGATTAGCTTACAGGCCCTGCTAGTCCAACAGTGTCTGGCTGCCAGTAGGAGGTCCTGAATTGCAGCCATGGGTATCACTGCTGGCTCACGCACCGCATCTCTCTCTCCTTCCCGAGTCCTCTGATCCTGGGTTCTAGGGCTCCCTGTGTCTTCAGTTCTGTTCCCTTCCTGTCCCTCTAAGCGGGGCTGTGTTTCTCCAAAGCCCAAGAAAACACCCAGGACAATAGTACACCATTCTCTGGCCATGGCCAGCTGGTCTTCCTCCCTCCCTCCCTCCCTCCCTCCCTCCCTCCCTCCCTCCCTCCCTCCCTCCCTCCCTCCCTCCCTCCCTTCCTCCCTCTTTCCTTTCCTTCCTTTCAGGCCAGTCTTCCTGAAAAATTTTCCCAGAACCCAAATTCCCCATCTCTAACCTTGCCTCCCCCTCCTATTACGTTTCAACACTATGCACATCCCACAGGAGGAATGGGATGACAGGACAGGGACATTCCCGCCTCTCTTTTTAGGCCCTGCTTGCCCTTCCTGCCACTTTAGGCTCATCCCCTCTCTACACTCCTGGAAGGCACCCGCTTCCTGGGGACAGGAATTTTCCAAAGGCTCAGCCAAGTGTAATGAGTGCCTCAGAGCCACTGTAGCCCCAGCTCAGAACCAGGCGCTGATGTCTTGCTGGGGACACCAGGAGCAACCTCAGTTAGGGAGAGTGATGAGTCAAGATAGATTGAGTAGGTATATTAGTCAGGGTTCTGTCTCTAGAGGGACAGAACTAACCAAATGACTGGCCCTCTAGAGGACCCCGACTAAAAACCAATCTACAGATATATAGGAAGTGGATTTATTCAACTGGCTTATAGGCTATAGTCCAGCTAGTTCAACAATGGCTGACTAACAGCAGAAGGTCCAGAAATACAGAAGGAGTTTGGTCTGTGAGGCTGAATATTTCGGCTGGTCTTCAGTATAGGCTGGAATCCTGAAGACTTGATCTCTAATGCCAATGAAGGAATGGACTTGCTAGTAAGAGCAGGAAGGCAAAGACACCAGCAAGCATCCATCTCCCATGTCCTAGGCTGCCAGCAGAAGGTGGGTGGGGCCCAGATGGTGGATCTTCCCACCCCAAAAGATTCTGATTAATAATAAACTAAGCCGGGTGGTGGTGGCTGGCAGTGAATGCCTTTAATCCCAGCATCTGGGTGCCAGAGGCAGTCAGATCTCTCAGTTCAAGGCCAGCCTGGTCAGCAGAGCAAGTGCCAGGACAGCCAGAACTACACAGAGAAGCCCTGTCACAACCCCCCCCCCCAAAGTAATTAATTCAAACAGTTAAGAAAAATCCCTCATAGGTATGGCCAGCTGCTTGGGGGGGTTAGATAATTTCAGATGTGGTCAAGTGGAATGTGAGGGCTAAAGTTATGTTTTAAGTTTAAATTACCATGCTTAAAAGACCTATAAAAACCTGGCATGGTGGCGCACGCCTTTAATCCCAGCACTCAGGAGGCAGAGGCATGAGGATCTTCGTGAGTCTAAGGTCAGCCTGGTCTACAGAGCGAGTTCCAAGATGTCCAGGGAGCAATAAAGCAAAAATGCCTCTTAACTGTGAGCCGCACTTGCCCAAGGACAGATAGCTTCCTGGAATTCTGGGGACTGGTCGTTCCTGTAAGATAACAAGCCACGTGTTTTTGCTTCTGTAAACAAGGCTGGTTGCCCCGACTACACAGGCTGCGCTTGACCACACGTAGGCAGGAGGTGTGCAGGCAGAAGTATGTCAGGATGTATGCTTGCCCCCAACTTTACAAAGGCTTGGAGTATGTAGCCTTGTGGGTTCTGCCTTTATAAGCACCTAACACAATTTGGTGCCGTACCCAGGGATCCCTAGTATGGACCTGGCCAATGTCCATAAAAGCTTGCTTCAAATTTGGCTCAAAAAACTGTGATAGTGGTCTTATTATACCGGGTAGGATTACCAGACAACCAAGAACAGCCATCACAGTTGGTTAACCCTCTGCTCCTCTCACTAGCAGTGGCTTTGGACATGACATCTCACACACACACACACACACACACACACACACACACACACACACACACACACACACACCCGTGGCCTTAGTTTCCTGGAGCTGCTACAGGATGTCCTCAGCTTGCTACACAGTGCACACACAGCAGCTCAGACTAACTGGTTCCCAGTGCTGAGACTGCTCACTTTCCTCCCTGGATTCTGCCTGCTCATGTCTCAACATGGATTACTGTTGTCGTCCCCGTCCCCCGACCCCCAAGTCACATCCCTCCACACCTAGACCTGAAATTCAAAACACTCCCTCCAAATATTCATGGAGATTTCACGGAGGCCTTGGATCAAAAAGTGCTACCCTTGGCTTTGATCCCAAGACCCCTCTCTGGTCAAATCTCCCACCCACCTGGTTCTTTACAGGCATCCAGCTCCCTGGGTGGTTTGCCCAAGGACATGTGCCTCTCTCCATGCCAAACCTACCCAGCACAGACACCACCTCCTAGATGAAGCCCTCCTGGGTCTGGAGACAGGCGTGGCTAGGGCGGTGGCTCATCTTCCTCTACGCCCCTGTGTCCCATTTCATCGTCCACTTCAAGCCTGGTGCTGGTACAGGATGCTCTAGCCACAAGGAAACCCATGGCCCCACAGTGACGAGACTTGTTTTCCCTACAGCTACTGAGTCCCCCAGCTCCTCCAGAGAAGAGACAGCTTGGAGCCCAGGCTGTGATAGACATGTGGCTGTCCAAGGCCGTTTAGACATCATGGAAGAGGTAACTGGGGGGCACGAGAGGGAGGGATCGTAAAGCTCGATGGCCCTCTGCCAGGTTGGAGGCTTTGCGGAGTTCAATTGTCAGCAAACCTGGTCCAATGGTGTTCCCCAGCCACCAAGTTAAATACTGCCTGCTCTAACTGGAGCATTCAAGCTGAGCGGTGTCTGACACACCCTACCTCCCAGGAGGCATTGCTAATACCCAGCCCGAGATTTTTCCCAAGTTGGGGAAGGTGGAAATTCAATCATCAAATTTTGTGAAACAGCCATGAATCATAAATTTATGTGGGAGTCATTTTTTTTTGCTTTGTTTTGTTGTTTCAAGGGTTTCTCTGTGTTGCTTTGGAACTTTTCCTGAAACTTGATCTGTAGATCAGGCTGGCTTTGAACTCAGAGATCTAGCTGCCTCTGCCTCCCGAGTGCTGTGATTAAAAGTGTGTGCCACCACTGCCGCCACCACCACCAGGCTGGGGAAACGTTTTACCTTCATTGCTGGATAATTTTTTGTTTGTTTGTTTCGTTGGTTTTTCCAGACAGAGTTTCTTTGTGTAACAGTCTTGGCTCTCCTGGAACTCTCTTTGTAGACCAGGTTGGCCTCGAACTCAGAGAGATCCACTTGCCCCTGCCTCCCAAGTGCTGGGATTAAAGGCATGCACCAACACCCAGCGATTGCTGAATACTTTTAAATTCTTTCCTCCTGTCATGTGTGTCATGGGGCTTTAACTCTGGTTATCAGTTTGTGGCAAGTACCATGTGTGTCCCAGGAACTTAACTCAGGTAGTCAGAGTTTATGGTAGGCGCCATGTGTGTCCCAGGAACTTAACTCAGGTAGTCAGAGTTTATGGTAGGCGCCATGTGTGTCCCAGGAACTTAACTCAGGTAGTCAGAGTTTATGGTAGGCGCCATGTGTGTCCCAGGAACTTAACTCAGGTAGTCAGAGTTTATGGTAGGCGCCATGTGTGTCCCAGGAACTTAACTCAGGTAGTCAGAGTTTATGGTAGGCGCCATGTGTGTCCCAGGAACTTAACTCAGGTAGTCAGAGTTTATGGTAGGCGCCATGTGTGTCCCAGGAACTTAACTCAGGTAGTCAGAGTTTATGGTAGGCGCCATGTGTGTCCCAGGGATTTCACTCAGGTAGTCAGAGTTTATGGTAGGCACCATGTGTGTCCCAGGGATTTCACTCAGGTAGTCAGAGTTTATGGTAGGCGCCATGTGTGTCCCAGGAACTTAACTCAGGTAGTCAGAGTTTATGGTAGGCGCCATGTGTGTCCCAGGGATTTCACTCAGGTAGTCAGAGTTTATGGTAGGCGCCATGTGTGTCCCAGGGATTTCACTCAGGTAGTCAGAGTTTATGGTAGGCGCCATGTGTGTCCCAGGAACTTAACTCAGGTAGTCAGAGTTTATGGTAGGCGCCATGTGTGTCCCAGGGATTTCACTCAGGTAGTCAGAGTTTATGGTAGGCGCCATGTGTGTCCCAGGAACTTAACTCAGGTAGTCAGAGTTTATGGTAGGCGCCATGTGTGTCCCAGGAACTTAACTCAGGTAGTCAGAGTTTATGGTAGGTGCCATGTGTGTCCCAGGAACTTAACTCAGGTAGTCAGAGTTTATGGTAGGCGCCATGTGTGTCCCAGGAACTTAACTCAGGTAGTCAGAGTTTATGGTAGGCGCCATGTGTGTCCCAGGAACTTAACTCAGGTAGTCAGAGTTTATGGTAGGCGCCATGTGTGTCCCAGGAACTTAACTCAGGTAGTCAGAGTTTATGGTAGGCGCCATGTGTGTCCCAGGAACTTAACTCAGGTAGTCAGAGTTTATGGTAGGCGCCATGTGTGTCCCAGGAACTTAACTCAGGTAGTCAGAGTTTATGGTAGGCGCCATGTGTGTCCCAGGGACTTCACTCAGGTAGTCAGAGTTTATGGTAGGCGCCATGTGTGTCCCAGGAACTTAACTCAGGTAGTCAGAGTTTATGGTAGGCGCCATGTGTGTCCCAGGAACTTAACTCAGGTAGTCAGAGTTTATGGTAGGCGCCATGTGTGTCCCAGGAACTTAACTCAGGTAGTCAGAGTTTATGGTAGGCGCCATGTGTGTCCCAGGAACTTAACTCAGGTAGTCAGAGTTTATGGTAGGCGCCATGTGTGTCCCAGGGATTTCACTCAGGTAGTCAGAGTTTATGGTAGGCACCATGTGTGTCCCAGGGATTTCACTCAGGTAGTCAGAGTTTATGGTAGGCGCCATGTGTGTCCCAGGAACTTAACTCAGGTAGTCAGAGTTTATGGTAGGCGCCATGTGTGTCCCAGGAACTTAACTCAGGTAGTCAGAGTTTATGGTAGGCGCCATGTGTGTCCCAGGAACTTAACTCAGGTAGTCAGAGTTTATGGTAGGCGCCATGTGTGTCCCAGGAACTTAACTCAGGTAGTCAGAGTTTATGGTAGGCGCCATGTGTGTCCCAGGGATTTCACTCAGGTAGTCAGAGTTTATGGTAGGCGCCATGTGTGTCCCAGGAACTTAACTCAGGTAGTCAGAGTTTATGGTAGGCGCCATGTGTGTCCCAGGAACTTAACTCAGGTAGTCAGAGTTTATGGTAGGCGCCATGTGTGTCCCAGGAACTTAACTCAGGTAGTCAGAGTTTATGGTAGGCGCCATGTGTGTCCCAGGAACTTAACTCAGGTAGTCAGAGTTTATGGTAGGCGCCATGTGTGTCCCAGGAACTTAACTCAGGTAGTCAGAGTTTATGGTAGGCGCCATGTGTGTCCCAGGAACTTAACTCAGGTAGTCAGAGTTTATGGTAGGCGCCATGTGTGTCCCAGGAACTTAACTCAGGTAGTCAGAGTTTATGGTAGGCGCCATGTGTGTCCCAGGAACTTAACTCAGGTAGTCAGAGTTTATGGTAGGCGCCATGTGTGTCCCAGGGACTTCACTCAGGTAGTCAGAGTTTATGGTAGGCGCCATGTGTGTCCCAGGAACTTAACTCAGGTAGTCAGAGTTTATGGTAGGCGCCATGTGTGTCCCAGGGACTTAACTCAGGTAGTCAGAGTTTATGGTAGGCGCCATGTGTGTCCCAGGGACTTAACTCAGGTAGTCAGAGTTTATGGTAGGCGCCATGTGTGTCCCAGGAACTTAACTCAGGTAGTCAGAGTTTATGGTAGGCGCCATGTGTGTCCCAGGAACTTAACTCAGGTAGTCAGAGTTTATGGTAGGCGCCATGTGTGTCCCAGGAACTTAACTCAGGTAGTCAGAGTTTATGGTAGGCGCCATGTGTGTCCCAGGGATTTCACTCGGGTTGTCAGGAGTTTGTGGCAGGCGCCTTAACCTGCTGAATCACCTTGCCAGCCTCGTTTTTTTAATTTATTACTATTATTTTTTATTTTTATTTTTGGTGACACAGGGTCTACTATGTAGCCATGGCTGGTTTAGAACTCACTGCTAAACCAGTCTGGCCTGAAACTCATGGCAATCCTCCTGTCTCTGCCTCTTGAGTGCTAGGACAACAGGCATGGACCCACACACCCCGCTTCAGCATGTCCTCTTATTTTGTCAGGACGGCAGCAATCTCGGGGCCTGGTGTTAGATGATGCTACTTAGTGAGTTGATAAGTACATGGACTAGTACAACAAAATGCTAATGGGGGAGTAGCTCAGTCTGTAAAGCATTCGTCATGCAAGCACAAGGACCCATGTTCCATCCCCAGGACCCACAAACAAAACAAAACAAAACCCTAGGTGTAGTGGCAGCCAGCACCAGAGAGGAAGAGGCAGGAGGGTCTCCGGGGCTTGCTAGTCAGTCAACCTAACCTAACATTGCCAATAAGAGATCCTGCCTCAAAGGCGAGGCTAGGGTTGTGCGATGACTCACCAGGTGGCAGCCATTGAGCCTGATGACCTGAGTCTTAGGTCTTTCTTTTTCTTTCTTTTTTTCTCCTTTTTGGTTTCTCTGTGTAGCCCTGGCTTTCCTGGAACTCAATCTGCAGAACAGATTGGCCTCGAACTCAGAGATCTACCTGCCACCACTGCCTGGCCTAATCCCCAGAACTTACAGAGTGGAAGGAAAAAAACTGACCTTTACACACTACTACGGTATGAGTGTGTTCCTACACACACACACACACACACACGCACGCACGCACGCACGCACGCACGCAGACAGACAGACAGACCTCTCCTAAGACTGACATTGGCCTTTCCACCCCCTCACTCCTATAACAGAAAAATAATTATGGGAAAGAAAAATCATTCCAAGGTGGCCTGCAATTTGTGGTAATCCTCCTGTCTCAGTCTACTGACTTTTGAGCTTACAGACATCAACAACAAAAATAATATATAGGGTTTTTAAAAATTATTATTTGGTTTTTCCAGGCAGAGTTTCTCTGTGTAATAGTGCTGGCTGTCCTGGAACTCACTTTGTAGACCAGGCTGGCCTTGAACTCAGAGATCCACCTACCTCTGCCTCCTGAGTGCTGCAATTAAAGGCATGCACCACCACTACCACCACCACGCCATAATATAGTTTTTACATTTGAATGCTATTGTAATATGGTTGATATGTTTCACGCATTAAAGAACTGTTCTGCAGCTGGGTGGTGGTGGTGCTGGCCTTTAATCCCAGCTCTGTGAGTTCGAGGCCAGCCTGGTCTACAGAGTGAGTTCCAGGACACACAAGGCTACGCAAAGAAACCCTATCTTGAAAAAAAAATAGAAGAACTTTATTAGGTTGCCAGCAGGATCTGTAGCAGCACACACCCATCCTCTAGGAACAAAACTTTAAAAATCCCAAACTTGTTGTATAATAAAGGTGCCACCAGGGGGCGGCACAACAAAAGGAATGTGCACTATTACTGCCAAGTCCCAAACAGAAAAGGTTAGCTTGGGCGGTCCGTGCCAAGCTTGGCACTTTTGAGTGCCAGACAGGAGGATCCTAAACGGCTGCAGGGAGCAGCCTGTGATGGTGTTACCTGGGGAAACCGAGCAGAGACGGTGTGAGGGCCAGGGTTCCACAGCACCCGGTTACGATGGGACCTGGGACGCAGTGGATTTTCTTTAGGATATCACTAAGCTAAAGCCGGCCCAACTTCCTGTGCTTGACTTTGCCCTGCCCTCCTGCTCCAGACGGTGGAGAAGACGGTGGAGCACCTGGAGGCAGAAGTGACCGGTCTGCTGGGCCTGCTGGAGGAACTGGCTTCGAATCTACCCCCAGGGCCCTTCAGCCTGGAACCGGACCTACTGGGAGGTGGTGAGTGGCTCAGATGACCTCTTGGGCCTGCCATCGAGGGCCCCTGGCGGCTCCATCAACCCCGGTGGAGCCAGAACTCCCAGGGACAGAGTTGGTTGTGGCACATCACCCATTGGCGTCCTGCGCCCCGGCATCCCATCGGAGCGCAGACCATCCCCAGTTCCTACTGTCTGGAGTCCTGTGTTTTGGTACTGCGGCCCCAAGGGGACTGACTGGGAGGCTGGAGGGAGGAAGTCGCTGGGCACAGCATCCTCTGCCGCTCGCTCAGGGCTCACCCTTTCTTGCAGACCACTTCTGACCACCAGGGGGCAGACCACTTCTGACCACCAGGGGGCAGTGGAGCCTGGGCAGCCGAAGTCGCCCCTCTGAGAAACCAAGCCAGGCCTTCTCTCCTTCCTGCCCCCCACATCTGTGTAAAATAAAAGCCGTTACTCGGGCTCCCCATGCTTGCTGACAGTGACCTCTGTAACCACAGCCCCAGATCCTTCTGCCACACAAGCTGAACCCCACACGCAGGTTTAGCCCACAGATCTGGCTAAACTGTGGCATCTGCACTTCCAACTTTACCGAGACAGAACACAGAGCCCGAGTCACACAAAGTGAGGTACCTGAGGCCCGGGATGATAACGGGACACAGGAGGCCCTTTCTGTAGCTTTGCTACTCAAACCGTGGCCACAAAACAGCAGCCAGTGCCACCCAGCAACATGATCACCTGGGTCCCATGCAGCCAAACTCGGCCTGCATCAGAACCTCTCTGCCTCCATGTGACCCCACCCTGCCCTCCTGGAGGTGAGGGGTTGTATGCCCATTAAGAATCCTGTTCTGAGCTGGGCATTGGTGGCGCACGCCTTTAATTCCAGCATTCGGGAGGCAGAGGCAGGCGGACCTCTGTGAGTGAGTTCGAGGCCAGCCTGGGCTACAGCGTGAGTTCCAGGACAGCCTCCAAAACAATACAGAGAAACCCTGTCTCGGAAAAAAAAAAAAATCCCATTCTGTGGCTGGGAATCTAGAGACATACTTCGAGCCTCCTCTTTTAAAAAAATTATAGCAAAGTTCACATTACAAAAAAAATTCACCTGCGGAGGAGGAGTTATTCAACATGTAGACCTAGGATTTTTTTTTTTTTTTTTTTTGGTTTTTCGAGACAGGGTTTCTCTGTGGCTTTGGAGCCCATCCTGGAACTAGCTCTTGTAGACCAGGCTGGCCTCGAACTCACAGAGATCCGCCTGCCTCTGCCTCCTGAGTGTTGTTGGGGATTAAAGGCGTGCGCCACCGCCGCTCAGTTTAGGATTACCGTTTTAACCTGCATGAAATCTGTGGTTTCTAGTGTGTTCCCTGGGTTACAGAGTCATCGCCATTATTAACTCCAGGACAATTTTCGACGCCCCCCCCCAAAAAAAGATCTCTGAGCCTATGCAGCTGTCACTTCCCCTCCCGCCCCCAGAAGCACTCTAGAAACCACTCTCCTCCAGGGACTTGCCCCCTGTGGGCAGCTTCTGTGAACGGAATCGGATTTCCAGTGGACCAGTTCTCAAGTTCATCCATGTCTGTAGCACACGCTACTCTTCTGGAGTCTCACTATCCTAAGCTCTCTAACAACGGGGGGAGAGTGAGGGGAGACCTCCAGCCAGCAAGTGACACTCTATGTTCCTGGACATGACATTGTCCCTGATAGTTCCCCTCTGTGAACACCATGGAGCAGAAAGCCTACAGGGCCAGAGCCAAGTGCCCTTCTTCTTTTTCTAAATGATTGTTTTAAAGATTTATTTCCATTTATGCCTGCGGGCCAGAAGAGTGCACCAGATCTCATTACGGATAGTTGTGAGCCACCATGTGGTTGCTAGGAATTGAACTCAGGACCTCTGGAAGAGCAGCCAGTGCTCTTAACCACTGAGCCAGCTCTCCAGCCTGCCAAGTGCCCTTCTGATTGGAGGTCCCAGGGTAACTCCAGGCTGGGGCAGCTCCCTGGGCTGCTCCTGTCCTCATCACTGGTCTCCAGACCAGAGACCAACCCAGAAACCACATAAATGCCTTCCTGTCCTTTCCCGGGACCCATCATTCCTCCACCTCTCTCTGGGGTCTCTACTACTGCCATCTGGCCCAGGAACCTGTGCTTGTAACTACCTGGGCCCTATGTGGCTCTGGAGAACATCTTTTGCAAGTCCTTCCAACACACTCCCTGCCGGGGAGATCATGCTTGGGATGTCCACTTTCACCGGCTGACAGGGCTGGAATCTCTGAGTCATACATAAAGCGGAAGAAAACAAGCTGGCACCAGAGAGACATTTCCAGAATGTTCCAGCACTGGCTGACTTTAATTTGGAAACAGCTTTTGGCTTACAGACATTCAGGTTTTAAGGCACATTCCCAACTAGAAGGATCCCGGCCACTGGCCGGGGACTGGCTCTATTCTTACATGGTTTTGCATGGAAGATGGAACAAGTGACTTTTTTTTGGCTTTTTTCTAAAAAAGGAGTGAGTTTGGCAAAAAACAAAACTCATGACAATCCTCACCAGATACAAACAGGGTATACCACCCACTTAACCACTCTCCTCAGAAACATGTATATAGTAAACACCCTTTTATGTATCCGTCTGGCAATGATGGTTTAAAAAAAAGTTTTCAAATAGAAACACAAAATCACAAAGCTGAGAGTCTTAGTCACAAGCAATGAGAGGAATGATTGGAGAGGCCAGGAAAGAAAGACATCTATTCTGAACGGCAAAAGTCTGTGAGGGCCAGGGAGACGGCTGCCTGAGAACTCTGGCCCAGCAGGGCCCTTTCGGCACGGTATGGGGATGACGAGGAGAGACCAGAAGGAAAAGGCCATGGTTCTCCGGGGGAGAAATGGTGTGCCTGGGATAAACTGGGTAGACTAGGAAAAACTGAAGGATGCTCTCTGGGTCTTTCCCGGACACGGCCAGCAGGGGGCAGGGGCGAGCCACTGTCACTGCTCAGTCGTTGCCACCACAGATCTTCAGTAGGATCTTCCGATAGTCCCCGGAAGTGTCTCCCTGGTTACAGAAACAAGAGTGAGGGTCAAGAGGGGCAAAGCCACTTTCTTTCTGGCCCCAAGTGTCCTCGTGGGGAGGCAGGCCCGCCCGAGGGAGAGTCCCCACTCAGAGCCAGCAATGAAGACCTCACTTGCTGTCCCCAGATCCTATGTAAAATGAAAACCAAAAGCCAAGTGTGACGTCATGTGTGTGCATAATCCCAGCGCTGGGTAGGTGGAGTCAGGTAGATCCCGGGCTGACTGGTAAGCCATTCAAGCCTAGTCAGCAAGCCCTGGGTCCTAGTGAGACGCTCTCAAAAGTCAACACTTAGACAGCTCCTGAGGAATGATATTCAGTGTTGACTCTGGCCTGCGCGTGCACGTATGCCCGAACACACACATACACGGTATCATTCACCTATTGTCAAAGTCAGATAAATACCCAGAACGGCATTTTTAATCAGCCCGAGGATCACCGACCAGGGCTAACCAGCATTGCTCTCTGCCTAGAGCACTTATACGGGGATTCTACCGTACAGCAATGCTGTCCTCCTGCTGACCGATCAAATCTGTCCAACATCACTGTGCTCTCTCCACAAGTGCTGGCCAGGCCTAGCGGATTTCACATCGCTCTCTGCCACCCTAAGGCTCTCTAAAGGCAAGCCCTGTGGCCTCCTTGGCTGTCACAGCCCACTAGTGCCCAGGCCACAATCTGACAGTGACGACAAACCCTGTGCTACCCGCAGCTTCATCTTCACAGCACAGCAATGGAGATGAGCTTCACTTCAAAGAGGAGCCCAACAACAAATGTCAAAATGCCGAGTCTGAAATCAGGGCCTGCAGTGCTGGGGGACTTAAGTGTCAACTTCTGCCACCCAGCTCAGGCACACAGTGTTTCCTTCCGGCGTTTGTGGAGACTGCCACCACCACACCTGCGGAAGAGATGCTGGAGCCGGGAGTTGGTGGCGCACACCTTTAATCCCAGCACCTCAGGAGGCAGAGGCAGGTGGATCTCTGTGAGTTCGAGGCCGGCCTGGTCTACAGAGCGAGTTCCAGGACAGCCTCCAAAACAATACAGAGAAACCTTGTCTAAAAAAAAAAAAAAAAAGATGCTGGGCCATTACCTGGGAGGTTTGCAGACCAAGCTCAAGGGTCGGGAGCCAGGATCAGATAACAACCCGGGCTGACCCAAGGGTTGAGCTACCTAGGTGGTTTCCACAGTAAAGTGAATGGGGAAAAAAAAGCTAGATTCCAGTAAACAAGAGCTGAGCTCCACAGACCCTTGGACACGAGCTCTCCTTGGTGGAGCACAGCTTCACAGTGTGTGTGTGCGTGTGTGCGTGCGTGCGTGCGTGCGTGCGTGCGTGCGTGCGTGTGTGTGTGTGTGTGTGTGTGTGTGTGTGTGTGTGTGTGAAGGGGGTACTCTGAAAGTCAGAGACACGATAAGGGGAGGCTTGAGATTTCTCTGTGCCATTTCCAGACACTCCTGTTCAGTTGTTAAGTACTGAGGTCCTAGAGGGTGGGCCCATAGGGTCACAGGGTTGTGGCCTGCCCTGCCCTTTGGATCTTGTGACTGGATGAAGACGCCCACTAGGCCAAACACAGGGCTGCTCTAGAGGAGTGGTCGAGGAGGAGGAGGAGACAGGGAGGGCCTGGTTGGCCCTTGAGCCCGTACCGTGATGTCGTGGTACAACGACTTGCCATACATCCGCTTATACTCCGCTCGGATATCCAGGAGGTCAACCTCGCTGCGAGACACCATGATGCGAATCAGGGTCCGGTCTTTTGTCCCTGCTCCCTGAAGAGTCACCCAGACAAGAGTATGCACATGGGACCTCCCGTCCGTCCTCCCACCCGCCCACCCTCCGAAGCCCCAGCCTCTCCTGTGCCTTCCACACTCAGCCCCTTGGGAAGCCCTTAGAAAGACCCACCCGGGAGGCTTTACGATGTTGGGGCCCCCTGCACACAAGATCCACATACCCGCATGGCCTTGTTGAGCCTTTCGGCAAAGAAGGCGGGGGTGTTCTTCAGGCATTTCACTGCAAGAGAGACACAGCACAAGGTCTGCTGGACACAGTGGGGAACACGCTACCCAAGTATCTTCCTAGGAAGCCCGGGCATCAAACCCGCCACTGCCCATCTGCTTTTCCCGCTGGCTGTGTGATCCCATGTGTGCAGCCCCACACAAAGGAGGACCATCAACCCAAACCCCCCTTTCTTGACATTCACTGCACAAAAACCACTGGGGCTGTGCAAAAAGAGGGAGGGGCGAAATAGTAATGAGAAGAGGCACTGGCTTCATGGATGCCCAGGCACAAGGGGTCAAACGGGATGACCCCCCCTCCCCCCCCCGTGGAGAAAGGGAGGCCAAGGGGATGGGGTGTTTTTTCCTTGGGCCATGCAGGGAGATGAGGATCTACCGCCTGTTCTCATCAGAAGCACCCAAGAAAAAACACGCTGAGAGAAACCAGGCAAACTGACTGCGCCCTGGTATGTATAACGAGGAACCCAACTCCGCATTAGCGGGGAGGCTCCTGGCTCGGAGGGCACAGGGCTATAAGAGGTTCTCCCAGTGCTGGAGGCTCTGCCAGCATTCCTAGAATGGACACCGCTTTGCTGTTGCAAGTTAAAAAAAAAATCTTTCCATGCGTTTCCATCACAGGCAGCTGACAGCCGCCCCGCAGGGATATATTTTTAGAGTAAAACTTGGCAGGATGTGAGTCACCTTCCTCCAGGAGAGCATCTGGGCAGGCCCCCACTAATGCCCACACTGTAGCTCCGCTCTGCTCTGCAGAGCTGCGCTGCAAACACAAAACCCTTCTGTCCCAGAGGCCGGGAGGCTCAACGGATTCCCAGACGGTCCAGGTTAACTAGTCCAGATCCTGTGGCTCCTCTCACTACATCACCTCCAACCGCAGGACGCCGAGCACCCAGCCCGCAGCCCGTAACTCCCTCTGTGGGTGGGTGGGCAGGCAAGCCAAGCTCCAGACGCCTACCCACAGCCAGCATGCCCTGCTCCAGGTCCCCAGACATCTCCCGGCAGATGCTCTTCTCGATGTCTCGGCCCGTCATCCTCTGGTAATCGTTGAAAACTAGCAGGGAATTAGAAGGGATGTGTCAGGGTCTGAATCGTGCTCTCTCAAATTCCCATGCTGCAGTACTGACCTCAGCACCTTAGAGCAGGTATTATTACAACAATGAATGCCAATATGGTGGGCCCTGAGCCAAGCTAACCAGTGGCACACCCATTAACAAGGAGGTCAGGTGTGATGGGGAAGTCCTGTGTGTATATGTCAATAGAGCACTGTTGGCCAATAGGGAAGCAAGATAGGTGGGACTAGGAGTCAAGGAGGACTCTGGGTAGGAGAAAGACAGGGAGTCACCATGTAGCCGCCATAGAAGTAAGATGTCCGTCTGGTAAGAGAAATACTTAGATGGGTTAAATACTTAAGTCAGAGATAGCCAGTAAGAAACAAGCAAATGGCCAACAGCTTCATAATTAATACAGTGTCCTGTGTGATATTTGGGGACTACAATGCGGCAGAGCCCAGGCGACTGGTGGGGAAAAACCAAAGCGGCTGGCAAGGAAAAGGCTTTACCCTAAAATGGTGTGCGGACCCACAAATCTCAGCTTGAGATGGCCTGACTTAGGGTCTTCTGGTCTTTACTTCTTGCACATAGCCACGGCTCTCTCCAAGTCCCACCAAGTACTCTGCACTATAACCAAAAGGATCTGCGGTAGAGGACTCCGCCCTACTGTACACCAATGTGGCCCCTGAGCAGCTAGCTACCCCGTGCCCCAGTAGCTGGCACTACATCAAATGCACATAATGATGTACTGGTGGCAATAAGTGGACTCAGTGGTGCAGACGAGAGACAGAGAGAGACAGACAGACAGACAGACAGACAGACAGACAGAGAAAGAGAATTGGGCATGGTAGCACATGCCTTTTTAATCCCAGTTTCAGAAAGCTGTGGCAGGCGGGTGGGTCTCTATAAGCCTGAGGCCAGCCTGGTCTACATAGCCAGTTTCAGGCCAGCCAGAATTACCTAGAGAGACTCTGTCTCAAAAACAAACAAAAAAGGGCCGGGCAGTGGTGGCGCACGGCAGGTGGATCTCTCTGTGAGTTCCAGACCAGCCTGGTCTACAGAGCGAGTTCCAGGACAGCCACAGAGAAACCCTGCCTTGATAAACCAAAAAAGAATGAAAAAAAAAAAACCAAAAAAACAAAAAAGAGCACATAAAGTTGGGAAGAGAAAGTGGGGCGTGGATAGGGGGGAGGGTGGGAGTCAATTTGCTAAAACGTATCGTACACACGTGTGAAATTCTCAAACAGTAAGACAGTCGATGAGTACATGTTTGAGTCCGTCCGTGTCCCCGCACACTCCATCCCAACAGTCAGGTTAAAAAGCACGCCCTGGGGACAGGGCTCAAGCCCAAACTCTCACAACCTTCACGTTGACTTCCTGCCGACACAGAGACTGAGGGGATGCCTCTCCCGTCCTGTGGGCCTGGGTTAGAGGTCCTGGGGCACGAGCAGGACCCTTACCTCACTCCTCCCCTGCACTCCTACAGCCCTCCCAAGCTGTCCTGCACTCTGCTCCGATTGCTCACCTGTCTGCCCGCAGGGGCCTCGGACGCAGCCGACCACGGCTTCCAATAGGCACGGCTGCTCCTTAGACGCCTGCAGGGGTTGGAGCTGCCTCTCTCTCTCCTCTCCCTCTCCCTCTCCCTCTCCCTCTGGTCCTCCACCCAAGGCCTCAGACACTCAACTCCTCACAGCCCCCAACCTTCCAAGTAGATCATCAACACAACTATCTTTCTGGCGTCCTTCTGGTGTCTGTTCCACCCACAGCTCCTAATCTTCAGTTGAGGGCCACCGTTGCCCGTTCGTTCGCTCAGCAGACAGAATCCCTCTGTCCTCCTGGGCCGCCACCTCACTCTGACAGGCTGGACTCTGGTCCCTTTTACCCCAACTCTCTCTATCCAGGCTACCACCAACTCCCCCTAAGTCGCCGTAGGGCTTTCTACCAGCTGTCCCGCTCAACTGTGGGTCATTGCACCCGCGGGAGGCCCAAGGTCACCTAGGAGACCTGGCAGCGTGTTGTCTGCAAGCTGAGGGTCCTCCGGAGACTTCCGGTCTCTCTCGGGACGAACACCTCACTCCCTGGACGACGGGAAGAGCTGTCCACCACCTCTGACCCCACCCCCCTGCTATGGCCACTCGATCTGTTCCAGACACACCTGTCTCTCTCAGGGTTTCAATCTCACAATCTTTTTACCAGAGGACGGTCCCAGCCCCTCCCCCAACCTACTCCTTCACCTTCTACCCGTTTCCAGAACGTCCTTTTTCTCTACTACATATCTGGTGCCCAGCTCCGAGCTGTGCTGAGTATTTCTCTTCTGACACGAAGCTAACCGGTGAAGACAGACTACACCTCTCAACCACCCGCAACCCACTTCCCCGCCTTTTTTCCGTCATCGTCCTGCAAGCAAAGCTTTCAGGGAGCTTCCCACAGTGTCTTCTAGGGAAAGTGTCCATGCAGAGGGTATCAGTCAAATACTCTGCAGGCTTTTCCTCCCCGCAATGTCCCGTCTGCCCTCATCTAACTGACCCGGGATGTCTCACCTGCCACCAGGTGGGCCCGGCTCCGGGAGCACAGAATTGCATTGAACTTAGACTCATCTGTTCCCAGGCGGTTCTCTCCGGCTGCATACAGCTCCTGGATGGGGAGGAAGACGCACATGTGTACGGCAATCGTCGTCTAAGTCCCGGGCTCAGATCGCCGCCCAGCAGGCAGCATCTAGCTCCGTAAAAGCCCAGACAGAGGGAGGGCAGTCAGAGTACGGGTTTGCTGAACCCTGTAGGCGATGCTCGCTGCAGACCCAACCATATCCTCTTATCTGTCCGTGTGTAGCACAAAGGATTCTGAGTCCAGATCCCAGCACCACAGAGGAGGGGAGAGAAGCAGCCTGGACTTGGGTCCCGGCTTGGAACCAGCTTGCGACGGGGCGTTAGGCGAGGATTTTGGCTCCTGAATCTCAATTTCCTCACACAGAAAATGTAAGTCCAGGGGGGTCACGGGGAGGAAAAGAGGAATGGAAAAGCTAGAAGGGACCCTAGTCAACTCCTCAGGAGCAGCACGTCTCAACGGTAGGGAGGAGCGTAGTTCCTACGTCTTAGGTGTCAGTCAGATTTCTTTTCTTTTTTTTTCTTTTAAAGATTTGTTTATTTATTACATATACAGTGTTCTGCCTGCAGGCCAGAAGAGGGCACCAGATTGAATTGTAGATGGTTGTGAGCCACCATGTGGTTGCTGGGAATTGAACTCAGGACCTCTGGAAGAGCAGTCAGTGCTCTTAACCTCTGAGCCATCTCTCCAGCCCCAGGTGCCAGATTTCTATGTGGCATTTTCGAGTCAAGGAAAGCACCTTCCCTCTCTATATAAACATGTGGGATGATGATGACTTAAAAACCAGTTACAAGCCAAGGTAGGCGTTGGTGGCGCACACTTTTAATCCCAGCCCTCAGGGGGCAGAGGCAGGCGGATCTCTGTGAGCCTGAGGTCAAGCCTGGTCTAAAGAGGGAGTTCCAGGACAGCCAGAGGTACAGAGAAACCTCTCAGAAAAACCAAAAAACCAAAAATAAACAAAACCCAAAGTCCAATTATGGTAATGAAGAGATCCAATGCTCTCTCTTCTGACCCCCAGAGGCACCAGACATGCACATAGGCAAAACACTCAACATAAAAATACATCTTAGCAAAAAAAAAAAAAAAAAAAAATCTTAGCCTGGCAGTGGTGGCGCACGCCCTTAACCCCAGCACTCGGGAGGCAGAGGCAGTCGGATCTCTGTGAGTTCAAGACCAGCCTGGTCTACAAGAGCGAGTTCCAGGACAGCCTCCAAAGCCACAGAGAAACCCTGTCTCGAAAAAAAAATAATAAAAATAAATAAATAAATGTAAAAAAAAACAAATTCCATGGGTCTTCACTGGGCCCTTTCCCCATGCTTCCTTACATAAATCACGTTTGCTGAAGGACATCATAGCTCTTAAAACTTAGGAAGAAACCCCAAATATCTACCAATCTGCAACTTTGCCCCAGACCTCTAAGATGCCTTCCGGGCCTTCAGACAGTCACGGAAGTTAACGACACTGATACCCGGGACGCTCTGGGGTTGAGATCCCGCAGGTCAAGAAGAGTCTGAACATGTCGGGAAGGGAGAAAAAAGCTCACTTCCAAGCCCACAAACTCAGAAGCCGGATAGACAGGCACCCTCGCACACCTAACTACCTGCGTGGAAAAGTCCCCAAGCATGTGAAGCCCCACACCCCTGTGATCTTCAGCTGGTGAGGCATTTACTCACCGCTCTCACAGGTGGGAAACGCAGGGGGGCCTGGGTGCCCCGTTCAACGTCAAGTATCCGAGCATCACCACCCCCAGAAACCCGAAGCACACGGAACCCACCAGTGGCCCCTGCTCTTTCCAACCCCGGGGGCACCGAAGCCACAAAGCAGGAAGCGTGACCCAGCTCATGTTTAGCAAGCCCTGCCAGGCACCATACTCACCTGGACGTCTCTCTGGACAAGGGACATATCCACATTTGTGCTCTCGTCACGGTTTCCCTGAAAGCAAGGAGGGTGTTAAGGTCAAGCCACTTTTTTGGAAGGCCACGCCCCTCTCTCCTCACTCAACTGCCAGGGCTTTGACGTGCCCCCTCCCCTCTCCCTCCTTCCAATTCCCTCTCTCGCATCCTGTTGAGAGGAAGGTACCTGAGACAGAGAGATGAGGAGCCTCTGGAAGTGCCCCGAGGTGTCGCTTCGAATGGCCTCCTCCAGAGTCTTTTTGAATTCTGAAACACACACACCAGGGTCTACCCTATGGGCCTGCTACCTCTAAAGACATGGTTAACAGGGGACAAGATACTCGGGTCTCGGGCTGGAGATGGCAGGTGCCCCCACGTAACCTTCCATGACTCCAGGCTGACCTGACCTCTGGTCAGGCCTGGCCCAAATCCACTTGAGATTTTTTTACCACCCTTCCCGACCACAGGCACCTGCCCATGTGTAAACAGCATGCAGGGCTGGGCTTTGGGTCAAAGCCCAGAGAGATGGGTGTGAGAGGAAACGGGAGATAAGAAGGCCCACGGCAACGGGAAATAGGGCACGAGGAGGCCAAGGACTGAGAGGCCCCAGAAGAGGGTGCGGCCAATGCCCAGGAAGCAAAACCATCTACAGAAGAGCAGAGGCCAGGGAGCTTCCCACCTGTTTTGTAGGCTCTGTTTAGTTCCCGGATGTGTTCGTTACTCCGGGAAGCAAGGATTTCAATCAGGCAGGCCTCATCAGTACCGGCCCCCTATGGCAGCAGGGAAACATAACAGATCTCATGCTGGTGACCAGGCCCTCACTGGCATCCAGGAAGGACATCGGCAACAGAGGCCCCCGACAGACAGACAGACACACACACACACACACACACACCACTCACGCCCGAGAAGCCAGCTCCCCTCCCAGCCCTAGGCAATAAGGACAAGGGTAATGAGGTAATGAGTAGGCATCACATGAGAGACCATGGATTAGGAAATTGAACGAGTGTACAATGATTTTATCCCATGCCACACCCTGCTGGGTCGGGCTGGGGTGCCGCCGGTCAACGTCTGTTTCTTTCAACCTCGGGCCCTGAGTGAGATAAGGAACGGATGGCGGAAAGTCCAAAAGTAAGACCATAACGGATGTGGGAAAGGGCAGAGCCCCCGTGAACTGTCTGGAGGAGACATCTAGGAAAAGAAGCCAGAGGGCACAAAAGGAATGGCCGGCTGCGCCCGGGACAGCAGGAAGGCAGGAGACAGGGTCGGAACCTGACCTTTTCCATCTTGGCTCGGCAGCTTACTGTGTGACCTCGGGCGAGATGCTTCATTTTATGCCAAGCGTCTTGTCTACGAAGGGAATGAATGTGCACCTACCTCCCAAGGACTAAATGGGCTGATCTGACACGGTGCTTTTACGATTACCGCTGACGGCTTGCTACCATCTTACAAAGGGTGTGCGTGTTCCCACCTTACCCAGAGCTCCCAGCATGCCCTGAAAGAACATCCGCCATCTCCGCTCATGGGTGCTCGGGGAACCACAGCACCAACTCAGCACCGCTAGCGCCCTCAACCTGCGATGCTCTAGCATTCCGCCAACTTCTCATAAAGCTGCTGGAGGTGGGCTCTGACAACGCCCAGGCCCAGGCCATTGCCATCCTGTCTGCCCTTAGCACCCTCTAGACTAAAACACGCGTTGGGTTTCAGGCAGTCTTCTCTCCCTTCCAGACCAAGCACAAAGCTCGCAGCCTCTCGTGGAGGTGGAATCCGTGCCCGGCGTGCCTCTGAGTGAGGAGCTCCGTCAGGGTGCCTGGGCAGGGACCCTCTACTCGCGGGGCACACACAGCCGCGTGGCTCTGTAGCCCCGTGGTCAAAAATCTACCAGAGAGCCCAAGCTAAGCTGCAGGAAAAGGCTCCGTGCGTTACACGGGCAGACACAGCAGGCAGGTGTGAGAGCCAGGTGGTGCTAGGAAGCAGAGGAGAGAGATGGAGACAGAGACGTCTCTGTCCATCTGCTGCTATTCAGTTCCACTGACTGAGAATGACGGGGAACAGCCTCCCGCCCCTCCCCTTCTGCCATCGGCGTCCTCTACAACCCCAGCCTGGTCACCCCTCCTGAGACGGGAGACACAGTTACTCCCCGTGAGGAGCGGCAAGCTGCCTGCCTCTCTGAAGAACTACCACACGCTCCTCCTTCTATGGGCTGGAGCCAAGGGGGCCTTGGAAGTCAGGCGAGGCAGCAACTGGTAAGTGGGTGGCACGGTCCTCTCCTGCCTGGGCCGTGGCTGGCCACGCTTACGCGGGAAGGCAGGCACCCGTAAGCCCAGGGACACACACCTTGATGGCCTCCTTTATCTCATAGACATCCAACAGGACCGGGGTCTTCATCAGGGCCAGGATCGTCTTCTCGAAGTTCCCCGACAGTTCTGATTTTAGGTCTTTGATCAGATCCTGATGGGAAGGTCAAAAACAGACAAAAAAACAAAAAACAAAAAAAAAACCCACGGGCGATGAACACTGCAGACGGCGGGGCTGACAGTTATCAGGGCCCCGCCATGGGGAGAATGTCTGAGCTAGAGTGCTGACGCATTCAGTATCTATGTAACTTTACCTAAAACTCAGAACCCAGGAAGCTCAAAACCAACCCCCCCCCTTAAGCCTTTTCCACCAAGGCTCTTCCGTCAACTCAACCTCCCGGGGTCCCCTGCAAGCAGAGGAGGGTAAAGGGAGGCTGGGTGGGGAAGAAACGACTTATCTACAAGGCTTGTCTTGGCAGAACCAAAGCTACAGCCTGAAGCAACCCTAGCTAAAGCTCGCTGCCCATCTTGGAGACCTAGTCCTACTAGGGGGCCCCAGTTCCCGAAAAAATCAGAGCAAATGGGCCTGTAGCCATCTATGCTGATGGTAGGCCCTGGAGCTAGGCTCGGGAGACCCAGCCTCGGTGGCCCTTCCTGCATTCCCCTCTGCTCCCCACCTTGCCATAGGCTGTCTTGAAGGACAGGAGGATCTGCTGCCTCTGCTTGTTAGATCGGCTCCCCAGGCAGTCGATGATGGCCTGTTCATCCGTTCCTAGGAAAGAGGAAGGGGTAGACGCGCTACGGGTTATGAGGACACTCTGTGGCACGGGGCTCTCCCAGCCTGGGGCCTCCCATTCATCCTCCTGAGCATCTAAGACGGCTCTACTTCCATCCCCCTGGACAGGCTTGCCTCCTGCTCCCACTCAGCGAACGGCCCAGGGAACTGGGGGCACAGTAGGACTGGAGTCAGTTGGGTGTGTGTCTCTGTCTGTCTGTCTGTCTCCCTTCTCTCTCTCTCCCTCTCTCTCTCTCTCTCTCCTCCCTCTCCCCGAGACAGGCTTCTCTGTGCAGCCCTGGCTATCCTGGGACTCGCTCTCTAAGACCAGGACGGTCCCAAACTCACAGGGACCAGCCTGCCTCTGGCCCAGTCTAGTCTCTTACCAAAGCCCTTCATGGCCTTCCGAAGGACCTCAGCATCTCTCATGGGGTCAAATCCGGAAGCATCTGTGATGGTGCCTCGGTTTCCAAACTACTCAGACAAACAGGCACAGGTAAGATGGCCCACCCATGCCACCCAAGGGCGCAAGACTCTTCACCTCCTCCCATGCCCCCAAATAACCCCCTTTTCTCTAAGAGCCGAGGCACCTAAATGAAACCTGAAGTCAACAGCCCTAGACATAAACAGCCCCCCCCAAGGCTCATGTGCCGACGCCGTTTAGGAGTCGGCTACCGGGAGGGTCACTAGGGTGGAACAGGTCCTTGAAGGGAGTCTGGGGCTCACTGCCCCTTCTGTTAACTGTTTTCCTGTGTGCTATGTGGTAGACAGACAGCTCTGGTTCACCAAGTGTTCCCTGCCACGATGCTCTTCCCCACCACAGGCCTATAGCGACAAGGTCAAGCAGCCATTGACAGAAACCGTGAGCCGAAGTCAGCTTTGGTCCTTTCGAGCTGTGTTGTCATGTGTCGTTCCCCCCCGGCCCCCGGTATTTATACACAGGCTTACCGTTGCCTAGCGGGGCGATCTTTCTAGTGGTTTGTGCGTGCTGGTTATTAAGGCAGTAAAGTGGTTAGGGGAAAGAGAGCCGGGCCCCAGTTCAGGGTAGGGAAAGTGGGCAGCCTTGCAAGGGGCGGGTGGGAATGGGAGCAGGGTGAGACAGGTGATGGACCCTCTGCCTAAAAGTACCCCGCCAGCACATACCGCCAACCAGCCCTGTGCTAGGCCGGTCTGGCCATGTAACCATGACAACTGAATTTTAGGCATTGCAAACACGGACTGATCTCCAGAAGGAGCCAAGATAAACCTGGAAGAACTGCCAACCTTCCCTACTCTGAAAGGATTCTGAAAGTTCTTCACATTTGTCTAGGAGCCACATATGGGGTCCACTGGGCATGAGGCTGTGTGGCCGGAGGCCTCAGGAGCAATCTCTCACAAGGAGCAACCATCAGGGCAGTGCTTTGTCCTGGGACGGGAGGCACCAGAGAAATCAGCACTGTTTTGCTGAAGCAGTGTGTGGTAGACGGAGGCCTGAACCTTCTCTTCCCCCCTTGTTCCTTCAATCCCCCAAGGCCTTGCTGGCTGGGCCAGAGTCCAGCAGCCTTTGAACTTAGTTTAGACAGCACTCACCTGGGCTGGAGGCACAGCAGGGGTGACGGTACTGGATCCTGAGTACCCTGGGTAACTTGGCACTGGCTGCTGCCCAGGGGGTGGCATTGGTGACTGTCCAGGATAGGTCATCGGAGGCTGTCCAGGATAGGCCCCTGGGGGCTGCTGCCCAGGGGGTGGCATGGGAGCCCCTGGGTATGCTGGATATGAGGGCATCCCAGGAGGTGGGTTTCCCCCTGGGGGTGGATACATTCCATAAGGAGGGACAGGCTGCTGGGCAGGAGGGGGCTGCCCAAAGCCACCAGGGGGGACTGGAGGATAGGCACCCCCGGGAGCTCCAGGATACAGGTTTGGCATGTTGGCTCCTCCAAATGTCCCAGACATATTGGTTGCCTGCCAAGTACACAAAGCAGAACCTGAGATTCACAGGCCCAGAAAGCCTGGCATCCTGTCTTCCTACCCTCCCTTATGGAGTTCTGCAATGGCTCTAAGTTAGGAACCCCCTATCAGACCATGTATACTTAGCAATGGATGCCGGCTCCACTATGCTAGGCTCAGCCCTGCCCCACTCCCAATGGGACATGAAGGGCAATCCCCCCGCCCCAACCATGGATAATGGGTACACCTGCTCAGTGAGCAGGGCAACTGGGCCCTGGTTATGGTTCACTCTGTATACAAACCAGAACACCCTCCACCCCTTCTGGAGACGGAAACACGGAAGATGAGGTTGCTCCTTCCAACCAAGACTAACTGGGCAGAGCTAACCATTTCAAGGACCTAGAAAGTACAGGGGCCCCTTCTGCAGGCATGGGGGCAGCCCTGTCGCACAAGCCTGCTCAGTCAACTGAGGTAGGCGTGGGCTCAGGTGGATCTGCACATGCCCAGAACAAAAGACTGACTCCCTCACCTCAGCTTCTGATGCCCAATGTGAAATGGGTCCCACCGTCTCCATCCTTCACTTACCCTCTTCAACCACCAAGATCTACTGTCCCCAAGCTCATGAGGCCCGCGGGCACCTCACGACCTGGCTGTCCCTGGACATCCACACGCCACACTTCTCTACCGTGCGTGTCAGATCTTTGTTCGAGGCCCCTTTTCATTTCCCACCCTAAGGTCTTTGGTCTACGTTGCCCCACCTGTACCTCTAACCCTTTACCATACCAGATTACTATCATCTACTCTACCTCCTCCGCCCTGTGCTGGGGATTGAACCTAAGGCCTCATACATCATAGGCAAGCACTCTACCACTGACCTGATATGCCCATCTCTCCTTTGACTTCTTGGGACAACAACTCTCTAAGTTGCCCAGGCTGGCCTTGAACTCACCCCGTAGCCCAAATGGGCCGTGAACTTGGGATCCTCCTGCTTCGGCCTACCACTAAGCTAAGGTCACGTGCCTGTGCCACCAGGGTCATTTATTATTCACTTCCCTATCTTCATTACTCTCTTCTCTCCCTCTGACCTTTCTTCTGACTCTTCTGTTTTGAGGCAGAGTCTCTCTAGGCCGCCCAGGCTGGGCTGGAATTCTCAGTCCTCATGAATTCACTTACTGAGTGCTCAGTGTATGACACAATGCCCAGAAACACCTGTCACCTCTCAATACTGCCATCTGGTAACTTTATTTTCTGTCTCCTCTCCATGGATGCTAAGTGGATCTGGACTGAGATGTCCGTGTGTACAGGTGCGCGGGGAGGCAAAGGTCACAAGCTGTCTACCTTGTTTGACACAGCGTCCATTACTGGCCCTGGGGTCACTGGCTAATCGTTAAGTCCAATGGATTCCCTGTCTCCACCTCCCTGGCACTGGGATTGCAAGGACCACACCTGGCTTTTTTCCCATGGGTCCTGGGACTTGAACTCTGCATCTGAGGCTGATATAATAAGCGCTTTACCGGCTGGACTATCTCCCCAGCGCAGAGATTTTGTTTGCTGTATCCATGTATTCTCAGTGCCCACGATGGGCCTGGAATAAATCTGTGTTCCCACTAAGGGCGCATTTGTTTTCCGACTGGAAGATGCCCTCTTCTAAAAGCAAAACCACAAATAAAAAAATAGCCTAACCTACCTAACCTACCTGCTACATGGCCGCCAAGTACCAACCGGAAACAGCGTCTGTATGCGTATGTCTCCATACCTATCCACACACACCCTCCTTCCCCCCAACCCCCAGGATTTGTGCTCAGCTTAAGAGACATTCTCAATAAATCTCCCTGCAGGCACCAGCCTTACCCAACCTCCCAGGGCCTCGAGGACCCGAGAAGACCATCAGCTCTGAGAATCTCTTCCCCACATATAGATGAGAGAAGCGATGCCTAGAGGCAGGTGGTAAGATGACCCTCGTATTCTAAGTTGCTGCTCAGGACTCCACGCTCAGAGACTGGCATGAGGTATCTCTAGAGCCTTGAGTCCTGCAGCCACCAGCCCGGGGCACCTTGGCGGGGGGGGGGCTGACTCACCATGCCCGAGAGGTAGTCCTGGTTGAACTGTCCTGCATAGTTGGCCACGTTATCCAGCCCGATGGGGGGCATGCTGGGAGGAGGGTAGCCAGCACCTCCCCAGGGACCACCACCTGAAAGCAACGCCAAGCTCATCAACTCGCACCCCCAGCCCAACGAAAGGGCAGAGGGACGTGCAGAGGGAGTCAAGCAGGGCTTCAAGGCAAATGTTATGAATAGCCAGAAAGACTGGGGCAAGTCCAGGGGAAGGAGAGGGGCTTTCCCTAACTCTAGGGAAGAAGGCAGGTTGGGCCCTCTGCGGGGGATCCAGGCATGCTTTGAGAGAGAGCAGATACTCCCTTGGGCTCTGTGTTGAGCACATGACAGCAGTGAGTTCCACGAATGCTAGGGATTCTCAGACGGAGGGAAATGGGGCCCGTGCCGGAGCACACGGACACCATAAAGGACAGTGGCATGGAGCTGGCTAGCTGTGGCTCCTGAGGCAGGACTCTCAACCACTCTCATTCACGTCTGCGGGCAACTGGAGACGATGCACGCGTGACCTCAGACTGCTGAGGTAAGGAAGGGCTGGGGAGCAGACACCTGTGTGGGGCTGAGTCGGCAACGTGGCCAGTGCCTGCCAGATGCATCCTCACCCACAGGGCAGTCCAAGTCTGCCCCGCAGCTCCTGGGCTGTGTAAGGCCTGGGGCATGCCGTCACGGGCGGCGGAGTTTCTGCTGGAGAAGCGACTGCTTCGGAAGGAAGATAAGCTGTGCTGTTGCTGCTGCTGGCCACGTGAGTGGTCTCACTTTATCACCCAGGCTCTTGGAAGCCACGGGGAGGGGCAGACAGGGAGGGACAGTGAAGGGACCCCTGGGCATAGGCCTCGCTGGGAGAGACTCCAAAAATCACACTCCTTGAGACAGGGTAGGTGGCTGACTAGAGGCAGCACTCTGGAGGACACTCCAGAGTGTCCTATCTTGTTAGTAGTGGGGACAGCCAGGGGAGTGTTGGGGAAGTCCTGTGTATTTGTCAATAAAGCACTGTTGGCCAACAGCGAACTAAGATAGGGGGGACTAGGAGTCCAGAAGGACTCTGGGAAGGAGAAAAACAGGGAGTCAAGATGTAACGCCATGGAGTAGGAAGCCCGGAAACCTCTCCGGTAATAGAAATATGGGCCAAATACTTAAGTCAGAGCTAGCCAGTAAGAAACAAGCAAGGCCAACAGCTTCATAATTAATATAGCCTCCTGTGTGTTTATTTGGGACTGATGTGGCTCTGGAATCAGGCTGGCGGGGAAGGCTTCTCTCAAGGAAAAGGCTTCTCTTTACAGGGGAGGGAAAGAACCTTGAAGCTACTTTGCAAAGGAGTATAGCAGGCCTTTGTCCATAGGTCAGCTAATTAATAAGGCCCCTCCCGGGACCAGCCAAAGTCAGGCCCCTCTCAGTCCCGGTCCCAGTGGGTGAACCCTCTGGGGTGTAAGAGAATAGACTCCACCTTTTTTGCACAGGATCCCCCCCAGGTCCTCTTACCTGAAGCAGCTGGGGGGTAGCCACCAGCAGGTGGGGGGTAGCCTGGGTAGCTCATAGTTGACTCTGAAAAAGAAGGGAAAGTGCACTAAGGTCATGCTGAGGATGCCCCTACCAGGTCCCCTGGGATCTGCTTCTTAGGAACACAACCCACCACCTAGGCCCCTACCTACTGGAGGGATTAGTTCCCTGGGCTCCAGTGCAATCCAGTCCACACCTCCCTACCGGGCCTCCAGTTAGGTCAGGCCAACCCCAAAGCTACCAGAGGGTGCAACCCCACAAGCCAGCTACTGGTTCCTTGACAGCTGCTCCCCCAGGCCTGGTTTCCGCCTCCACCAACAAGAGTACAAAGTGTTTGCCGCGTCTGGTGTGCTCTGACATCGTATTATAGACAGAGCACTGCCTCAGCCTCCTGAGACTCCTTGTCATACCTTCCTTGTCCTTACCACGGTCCCTCCCACAACAGAGGAGCACCCCATCTACAACTCTGAAGTCTGCCATAGCAATGCCCCACCCCTAAGAATCAGATCCAAGCCGCAAGTTTAGACCAGCTGCTGCTGCAGTCTTTAAATGGCTGATCTATGTCTCTCCTGGGCATTCCATTCTCTAACACAAAACAACATGGTTGCCGGGCGTTGGTGGCGCACGCCTTTAATCCCAGCACTTGGGAGGCAGAGGCAGGCGGATCTTTGTGAGTTCGAGACCAGCCTGGTCTACAAGAGCTAGTTCCAGGAAAGCCTCCAAGGCCACAGAGAAACCCTGTCTCCAAAAACCAAAAAAAAACCAAAACAAAACAAAAAAAAAAACAACATGGTTATGTCGGAGTCATCACTCTTAGAGCCAAGAGATGCCCCCACCCCACCCTGCAATCCCACGGGCCTTTCTGCTACAGAGCCCATAATCAGCGCAGGTATCAAAGCCCTAAGAAAGAAAAGAGTTATGTGGAGATGAGGCAGTAAGGGGTGGGGGGACACCTGCTCTCACAGTCCTCTGTACACAGGTCTTCGGCAACGCCCCACATCGATTAAAATGGCCCCGGGGGAACAGAGATCAACCACTGCCCCGCAACCTGCTAGCTCTCTCTACGTAACAAGCTGCCGCCACCGCAATAAAGTGCAAAAGCCCAGGCTAAGGGCGTGTGAGGAAATTCACGGCCTCCAGTCATGTCCACGGGGCCTAGGGTGGCAGCCACCGTTTCACACACTGGCAGTTGAACTATGCCAAGGGACTGTAAAACATCATGGGCTCCAGCGTCAGTTCCCAGTCTAAAGAGGTTCCCAGGTGACGGACCGGATCTGGGGTCCCCGCTTTTAATAACTGTCCAGAGGCTGTGCACTTAAAATAATTCTAGTCGCCCGCCGCGTCTGCCTTGAAGAACTAAATAAGCTGTCCCAAGGAAGTTGCAGAACTTCTCCAGGGTACCAGCGGACCCCGCAAAATGGCCTCTAGTCCACTTACTTTGGTCTCTGGGTCCAAAGGGGACCAGTAGGCAATACAACAGGGAATGAGGTGATGGCGCCTTTGTGGCTGTGGACGGAGCGAGAACTGGCAGCCTTCAGACCCTGCCCTTTAGACAGCTTTGTCTTTCTAAACTGCTACGCATGTGTGGTTCCTAACATACATGCAGGGCCACTCACAGCCGCCTCCGGACCCAGGGGGACCCTGACACCTTTTAGATCCATGGATACCTGCACAGGAATATGCCCATGCATGTACACAGACACACAGACATACAGACGCATACACACACCCCTTTTTCACTTTTAAAGAAAGAAGGCAGAAACATACAAACCAAGAGGTGTGGTTGCACACATGCACAGACCACTCTCGGCACTGCACACAAAGCACCGGGTAAGGCTAGCTGCCTCGGGAAGAAAGGCCGGCTGGAGGTGAAGCTCACGTCCCGCACTGACCCTAACAGAAGCAACTTTAAGAAAAGGTCCAGTTCAGACAGGCATTTCTAACCACGCACAAAGCTGCCCCTTCCATTCCACATGGCCTCGGTGGCTCTTCCAAAATAAAAATAGCGCACACAGGGCTTATTCAGCTGAGACATCCAGGACATAGGAGGACAGCCTTCCCTCCTGGGAGAGCTGTGGCAGGGTTTCCTGGCAAGAGGAGCATCTGCCTCCTGGGACGAGCTCTGCCCCAAGGCCCCTCAAGGCCCAGTCTGTGGCTAATTCCGCTGCAGAACTCGGCCCTGTGGTGGCCCTGACTCCCTCCCTCCCACAATACTCCATGTATTTCCAGTCTTTTCCTCTCCAAAGATTCATCTTCCACCTGGAATTGTCCGAGCATGCTCCTTCTCTTTCCCTCTGAGGCCTGTCAGGACTTAAAGCCACAGGCTTAGCCCGGAGTTCCACAGGGCAGGGTGGTCACTTTCTCCTCCCTGTGGGTGAAGCTTCCTGCTTCACTGGTCGGGAACATGGGGGCCGGGGGGTGGTGGTGTCCTGGGTGGTGGAACAGTTACAGGGGTTCCTCATCCCTCCTCAATCTCTGGCTATGGTGACATGGTGACACACTGACCTTCTCCTCTCTCTCTCTCTCTCTCTCTCTCTCTCTCTCTCTCTCTCTCTCTCTCTCTCTCTCTCTCTCTCTCTCTCTCTCTCTCTCTCTCTCTCTCGGCTGCTTCACAATCACCGCCGATTTGGTGTACATGCCACTATGTCCTTCTAAGTAAGAGGCACAGATGGGCCAACGGCAGAGGCGGTCTTGAACTGTCATATTGAATCCCCTGCTGGTGTGTACCCACGCTGTCACAGGCTTTTGATCTGCCACTGCTGGGCCCCTATCCCTACCACATTCAAATATCTGCTCTCACGCTGTTACGGCTTGAATCTGAAGTGTCCCCCCCCCACCAGGCTTGTGATCTGAACACCTGTTCTGAAGACAGTGTGGTATTTGTGGTATTCCGGAAGGTTGTAGAGACTCAGGAGGTTGGAGTTTGGCTGAAGGAAGCAGGCTGAGAGGGGCAGCCCTTGGGGTTAGCTCCATGCAAAGTCCCTGGTCCCTGCTTTCTTTACTTCCTGGTCCAAAGTGATGTGAGGGAGCCCCTACATCCCAGATCAATGCTGTCACTGCCTTCTGCACCGTGACAGCCTAAACATTCTGACAGCCTAAACATTCCCTCTCGGATATCTGTACTCCACTGGGACCCAAAGGAATTAACACCCGTGTGTAACACCCTGAAGCTCACCGGCCTACTGAACCCCAGGGCGGGAGTCACCAGCTCAGAGGAAAGACCTCTGGGCTCTAGGAAGCCCCAAGGGACCTCAGCATGTAGGGACCCTTACCACCCCTTCTAAGCTCTTGCTTGTTCCGTGATAAATGGGAACATGGTGACCCAGAAAGACTGCCTGCTACCTGCCCAAAGCTTTACTTCCAGTTTACCCTTCAACGGAGAAGAAAGGTGCGCGGTTGAGGGGTACTTCCCACGGCTGACGTGACTGGACAGCCAGGCATATCCTGTCCCCACAAGCCTGCTTCTGACCATGGCACTCAAACATGGGACCTCACGGGAGAGCCCTCCCGCATAGGACAGGCACCCGGCTCTAATCCTAACAACCCTGCCTACAGAGAATGTCTAGCCTCTGGTTCTGACTCTCTTGGGGACACTACAACCAAAACATCACCCTCCCTTCCTCACTGGGACTATGGAAGGCAGCCACGTAGACTCACCCAGCTACGGCCCTCTCCGGCATAAACATATGTTTCTTAGTTAGGGTTTCTATTGCTGTGATGACACACCACGACCAAAAGTAACTTGGAAGGGTTTTATTTATTTCAGCTCACACTTCCCTATCACTGTCCATCACTGAAGGAAGTCAGGACAGAAGCTGATGGGGGGGGGGTTCATGGAGGGGTGCTGCTTACTGGCTTTCTCCTCATGGCTTGCTCAACTTGCTTTCTGGTAGAACCCAGCCCAGGGATGGTACCACCCACAATGGGCTAGGCCCTCCCCCTATCAGTCACTAATTAAGAAAATGCCCCACAGGCTTGCCTACAGCCATGGGGCATTTTTTCAATTGAGGTTCCCTTCTCTCTGGTGACTCTAGCTTGTGTCAAATTGACATAAAACTATCCAGGACAATGTGTTTCCAAAACAGACCATTGTGGAACATGTTAAAACCTCCCCTCCCCCCAGCTGAGTGCAGGGCCGCCTCTCCACACATGAGCACCCCAAGGAGAACTTGGATCCTGGCATCCCAGCATCCCCGAGAACCAAGCCTCCTGGGTACCCAGTCAAAGCCACCACCTGTGGGGGAGGGGGGAATTTCCTTGGGACTGTGAAAGAAAGGGCTTGCTCCCTAAAGCCATGGCTACCCACACCAGTGTGCCCGTAAATTTCAAGGGTTCCCACCACATAGGCACATATCTAGAGAGACAGGACAAGAGGGAAAAAGCTTCCGGAATGGAATTCCTCTCCCCAGACTCAGCCATCGCCACTGCCACCACTACCACAATGGAGAGCCCTATGCTCTCCACGCCTACCAGGGAGAAGTGGAGACAGATCTTCAGCCTGCAGCAAAGCTGGCCTATTATTCCCTAGGTCCAGTGTCCAGCCTGATTTCTAGAGACACTGAAGGAGGAGTAAGCGGCCGAGGTGCCAAGCCTGAAGTACAGGTCCAGACACGGCGGCCTCTCACGCAGAACAGAAGCCACTTGCTCTCACACAAACCCATAAATATATAGTTGAAACAACACAGCTCTGACAGTCTTTGCTGTCTTTTTTTTCCTAAGTAAAGGGAAGAAATCCAGACATAGTGATGTCTGGAGGTTGAGACAGGAGGATGGATCCTTATGGCCAAACATTTGGGGCCAGCCTGGGCCAAGTAACAAGAGCCTGATTCAGACAGGAAAAAACAAAAACAAAAAACAACAACAAAAAAAACCCAACCTACAGAATGGCTGAATGTATTCCTAAGAGATAACATCTGATAAAGGGACTTATAAAATAGAGAAAACAGACCTGAGCTGGACAAAGGGTATACAGAGATAACAGTACATGGAAAGGTCCTCAGCATGCCATTATATATGTAAACAACAAACCGCACAGCTATTAGAAA